ATGACCCCCCAACGTTTGTACTATGGACAAACTTTTTTCGCTGGTGTTTTAGTCTTTTGAAGTATTACCTTATACGATGCAGAATTTCAAGGGCTTTCAGAAAATGTATAAATAATTTTGGGATGAAATGATCCAGTGTGGCTAGAGTCAAAATACAAGAAAATCTGGATTTTAGCTAATGATCATTTTTGCTCGTGTGTTGGAATTATCGCTTGACGAATGGTATTATAGAATATAATGAGTTACCAAATTTTGTAGAAAAAAACATTTCTGCATATTTGAAACGTCCCGAGCTCGAACGGATGAGCGGATGCAGAGAAAAGTGCAAAATATTAAGATCATCCTAAAAAACTGCCTTTTTGACCAGGTCCCGAAGGGGTATCACTTGTATAGTGCGCCGTTTTCGTAGGGAAGTGAGAAGGAGCTAATATTTTGGATTTGTCTATACTTTGACTAGATCGTTCATTTGAGATGCCTACATCGAAAATCAAAATTTTGTCGGCGGCCGGCTTGTTTGGTGGTCTCGCGGCCTGTCTTAAACATTCATCACGATAATAGATAGTATCAATAGATATTCTAGAAGGAATTTGATGGATATGTAAGGTGATAATAATCATAAAGAACAAAACAAACATTTTTGTCTCAAACAGTTGTCGTTTAACGATGGTCGGAGAGCTTTCTCATTCTATTACCAACGATTTTGATTTAATCTTGCGATGGTAAATTCAAGTCTCATCACTGGTGATAATATCAAACAAACGTTAAGCATCACTTGCACATTCCTCTAAGTTTTTCGTACATATATTCATAAGTTGTTTTTGTCGTTCTTGTATTATTTCATAGGACATTCATCTTGTGGATATTTTTCTTAAGTATAGATGGTATGTCAATATATATATACTTTTCACACTACCATAGGATTTATCCTAGACTTAGTCAATAAAATCAATACTAATATTTAATTCATCATTAATTAGATCTCGAACAGCGTCGATATCTACTTGAGTGATGGCGTCTATTGGGTAATTGCTGCGAAGATCATCCTAACGCTGAATTCCATATGCACACTAACTAATCCCAAGAGTAGGTATACGTCGCAATATAGACAGCATGCTATCGGATGGATGATTCAAGACAAGGAGCCATTAGTGATTTGTCTTTGGTCATTTTATGGCTGGTACCGACAGTGGAGAACAAAAGCATCTTTAGACAAAACCATGATTATCTTTTCGAAAAATAAAAAGAATTAGATAAAATAAATCATATATATGGTATTTCATAAGTCTTGAGACCTGACAAAATTAATTTATATACAAACAGATAATAACACCTAACCGAATATTTCTATTTAAGCCTTGAGTGCTCATATCACTAAGTGTTATTATCTGTCTGCATATAACTTAATTTTGTTGCGTCTCAAGAGTTATAAAGCAAGAACTTCTGCTCTATAGATTTATAAGAAATGTTTTCAGAATGAAAACATAAGTATTCGTTTTCCGAAAAGACGTCTTGATAGTAAAGTTAGCCGCTACATTATTTCTACGAATCTGATGTCGATGAAACTTTTCGAGAATGTCTTTCTGTTTCTGAGACATACACGCACGCAGTGAACACAATTACTTCTGGATTGAGATACAGGTTTTCTAAAAGTCTTGGTTTTTAAAGGTTTTTCGCGATGTATTTGTTACAGAAGCACTTTAAGAAGAAACAAAGCCATATTTAGACGAAAAACTGTATCGAGTGATGAATCATTTATCAATTTTTTAAAATGAAAAACATTTTTTGTAGAAGAAACTCTAATATTTGTATGAAAAAAAAAGTTCCTTTCTGACAGAAAATAAGTCATGTTCATATGCTTGATATAAATTGTCCTCTGTATAATGATACCGAGGTTTGAACACAACATCTTGTGAATACGTATCGAACGACAAAACTACTCAAACATGGCGGATATCTAATTTCAATCGGAATGTTCTCTAGAGATTTCAAACGAGAAAGAAAATCTGATCAGATACGTCATTGTGTAGCGTCCTCTATAAAAAAAAAAAAAAACAACCACCTATTACAACTTTTCCTTGATGGTCAATAATTGATACCAACCGAATTAAAGATTATTTGGACTTCTATTCCTCTTAAATATACCTTTTTTTAGATACTTGAATCATGTTATCTACATCCTCACAACAACAACATCATCTTTTTTCTAGTTATCGTGCACTAGGTTTAGTTACTAATCATGTCCCATGTATATTACGTATACATCAACGTCATTCATCTCATTTACTTTTAACAGCTATAGGCAAAGTATTTCATGCTTATCGTCTTAATACTCTTCAAGTATTACTTGTTAGTGATGCTCATCCAGATGATATTCAAGTACTTGCATCAAATAGTCGTTTAGTATTTGTTGCTGTTGGCTCAACAATATATATTTATCGTCGTATATTTCATTTATATCAAACTTTAACTGATCATAAAGGTGATATTCAACATTTATTACCATTTGGTGATGAGCATATAATTAGTGTTGATGAATCAAATACATTACGTATATGGGATATTCAATCAGCAAGTATTTATCTATCACTTGAATTTAATACACAAAATTTTCATATAACAAGTTTACTTCATCCGGCTACATATGTTAATAAATTACTTATAGCATCACGTCAAGGTACAATGCAATTATGGAATATAAAATCAAATAAATTATTACATGAATTTTTTTCTAATGATACAAATAGAAATTCTATAACAATATTAACACAATCAACTGTTGTTGATGTTATAGCTATTGGTTATAATAATGGACAAATATGTCTACATAATCTTCGTTATGATGAAACACTTGTTACATTTACACAAGATTTTAATGGACCAATAACATCAATTGCATTTCGTCTTGATAATATACCACATATGGCAACAGGTTCATCAACAGGACATATTTGTATATGGAATTTAGATACATGTCATTTAATAAGTCAAGTACGACATGCACATAAACAATGTTCAATAGCTGCACTTCATTATATACCAGGTGAACCATTATTAATATCAAATGGTAATGATAATGCTTTACGTGAATGGATATTTGATATGCCTGATGGACAATCATGTCGATTATATCGTGAACGTTGTGGACATTCAAAATCACCACGTTGTGTTCGTTTTCATGATAATGATATAGTTATTTCGGCGGGTAATGATGGACGTTTACGAACATTTCATACAATACTTGATAATCTTTCACGATGTTTTGGTCGTACAACACGTTATAAATGGGAAATGGAATTAAATGAAGATGATGATAATAATGATGATAATGAAGATTCTGAACAACCATTACCTATTGTTGATTTACATTGTGAAACTATTAAAGAAAATGATTGGGATGGTATTATTGCTGTACATGAAAAACGACGACGTGTATCAGCTTGGAATTATGTTCGTGCTACACGTAGTCAACATCGTTTTGAACATGAAAGATTTGCAACTAAAGTTTATCATAATGTAGAAGTTATTGCAACTTGTTGTGATATAAGTCCATGTGGAAATTTTTGTGTTATTGGATATTCAACTGGACATATTGATATGTTTAATATGCAATCGGGACTTCATCGTGGATCATTTGGTAAGAATTATTTTAAGTCTATATTGAAGAAATGTCTAAAAGGAATTTTTTAGAAGTCAAAATAGTATTTAACTCGGCGTACTGTTGAAAGATCAAAAGAAAAAATATCGAAAATTTCGACTAACAAGACATTCTTGATTTTTTGTATAATATTAAAATTATAGCTTAACTTATACATAAGTTAAGAGATAAAAAAAAGAAAGCAAAGAAAGTATGTGAGTCTGGGTGAAGAGAACAAATGGCTTGATTGTAGAAACGGCGACAAAAGAAATCTCAAAATTAGAAAAATATTAAAAAGAAATGATATGTCTACGATGAATGTAGACGAAGAGAAGACTAGAATCTACACTTGCACCCTAGATCTTCTTATGCCGAAAATAAAGAATATCTTGTTAGTTGAAATTTTGGATATTTTTTCTTCTGACCTTTCGATGGGCCAGCTTTTTACATACATATGCATGGGTAGAGTTTTAGACCGAAACATAATCATTTAAATTTCTCTTAGATTCATATGGCATTATAACATAGAATGAAAAAAAATCGACAGTTGAGATTATGTTCTCGTTTCAGATTGCTTTCTCATTACTAGAAATTAATTTATTCAAATTATCAACCTTTCGAAAAATATTTCCAATCCTTCTTTGTCTAGATTTCGAAAAATATGATCTAACAGGAGTGTTGAAGTTTAGGGGTATAAGTTTGAATCACAGACTTTGATGAATAACGCCTTGCTATAATAAATGAACTATTTCCTTATTGGATTTCCGGAGATTTCAGTAAAATAATCTCCCTTATTCATTCTTAACATTTCTTTTTCAATTGAAAATCTTCTTGATCTGTCAGGTTTAGAAATATGGACTAGAAAATGGTAGGAAACTGGAAACAGAGGTCCAGTGATCGGATCCGATGGCTCACTTTGCCTGGCACTAGAAAAATCTGACTACTAGATTTTTGCTTACAAGTTCCTACCATTTTCCCGCGAGTTTCCGCCAAAAATCCACAGATCCGACTGTCGAAATAATCAACCTGAGCTATAGAAGAATAGATTTTTTATCTCATAAAATGAAAAAACTTTTCATTTCTTTCCAGATGATGGTGCAATAAAATATTCGTCAAAAAATCCTCATAAACGTTTAAAATCGTCACCATATGCTACAGCACATTCATATCCTTTATGTGGTGTATCATTTGATTCACTTAACACTCGTCTTATATCATGTGATATAAATGGATATATGAAATTATGGCGTTTAAAAACAAAAACTCTTCTATCATCAACATCAATTATTAATGATGATAATGCAAATTCAAATATTCAAATAACTAAAATGATTGTACATCGTGATAGTGGTCTTATTTCACTTGCATTTAATGATTATACAATAAAAATTTATGATTATGATACAATGATTTCTAAATGTATACGTACATTTAAAACTAATACTCATACAAATGAAATAACATCATTAACATTTATGCCTGATGCACGATGGTTATTAACAACATCATTAGATAAAACAATGCGTATATGGGATATACCAAGTGGACAATTAATTGATACTATGGAATTTGATGAAGCAATAATAACATTAGCTGTTAGTCCAAATGGTGATATGTTAGCAACAGGACATACAGATGCATTAGGTGTTTATTTATGGTCAAATCGAACAATGTATGATAATTCAATAATAAAATCAACAAATGATATTGATAATCAACAATTATTAGTTGGTGATTTTCAATCACCAGAACAAATATCAAAAAATTTAATAACACTTTCATCATTACCAGAATCAAAATGGAAAAATTTACTTGTACTTGATACAATACGACAACGAAATAAACCCAAACAACCAATAAATATACCTAAACAAGCACCATTTTTTTTACCAACTGTATCAAATTTACGTGGATTTGTTTTTATTAATCCTGATAATGAAAATGATATAAAAAATAAAGATAAAAAACAAACACATATTCATCAAACACAACAATTTCTTTATGAATCATCATTAACAAATTTACTTGATCATCAAAAATCTAATTCATCATTATCAAATGATGTTATTAATCTTTTAAAAGATCTTGGTATGGCTAAAATTGAATATGAATTAAGATGTTTATCACCTGAACAAGGTGGTTCATTAGAACGTATGTTCATATTTATTGATATACTTAATCAAGCATTTGATAATAAACAAAATTATGATTTAATTAGTTCATATTTAGCACTTTTTATACAATTACATGGTACAAGTCTCATGTGGAAAAATGATGAATTAATAGAAAAAATTCGAAATATTCAATTAAAACAAAAAGAAACATGGCTTAATATACAACGACAATTGAATACATCAATTGCACTTGTTAAGTATATTAGAAGTGTTACTACTATTTAAAAGTAGTATTACCGTTCATTTGTTTTGTTGTTAAACATTTTTGTTTTTGTTTTTTTGTTATTCTTTTTTTTGGTTTTGAGAAAAAAAAGAACGATAATAAAAATAAGACGTTTTTTTTGGACACATTATTCTATGTGTGTATGCTTCCAGATATGCTCTCAAATACTATTTCGTTGGTGACTGGAGCGGGCAGTGGCATTGGAAAAAGAGTGGCACAGTTATTTGCTGTCGAAGGAAGTCGAGTTTGTGGCGTGTGAGTTTTAAGTAAAAAAAAAAAATATAATCAGAAATATTTTTATTAAATTTAATATAATTAATTTTGAAGATTCGGATATTTAAAAAAAGATTTCAAATTTTTTTTTTGTTAGAGAAGAAAAAAACAAAGAGCAATTTATTTTAGAGATGTTAAACCATTCGATTCATCATGTGAACATTCATTTGTAAGTGATATAAGTCAACGTCAATCTGTTATAAAATTAGCAGATGAAATTTTTTCTCGTATTCAATCATATCCAACAATAGTTGTTAATGCAGCTGGTATAACACGAGATTCATTATTATTAAAAATGCGTGATGAAGATTTTGATGATGTTATTCGTGTTAATTTAAAAGGAACATTTCTTATAAATCAAATTTTTTGTCAACGTTTATTAGCAGAAAAACCTACGGATTTAAAAGCAAGTATTATAAACATATCAAGTATCGTTGCAAAATATGGTAATGTTGGTCAATGTAATTATACAGCATCAAAAGCAGGTGTTGAATCAATGACAAAATCTATGGCTAAAGAATTAGGACGTATTGGTATTCGTGTTAATGCAATTTTACCAGGCTTTATTCAAACAGCAATGACTGATAAAATACCTGATAAAGTTAAAGAAAAAATTTTAATTAATATTCCAATGAGTCGTATGGGTACAGTGGATGAAATAGCTCAAGTTTGTCTATTTCTGGCTTCAAATAAAATGAGTAGTTATGTTAATGGTGCAAGTATTGATGTTACTGGAGGACTTTGAAGTTTGCCTTTTAATTTAGTTCTTTTGCTAGACATGATTCTTTTCTTATGAATAAAATACACGATAGATTTATTCAGTAATGGAGACAGAATTTTGATGGAGAAGCGATGATGTATAAATAATGCCTGCTGATATGGTATAATTTGTTTTCTTTTTTGAAGCAAGTAAGGTAATGTTGTCATGCACTTCGTTTCTTTGTACCATTTTAATAAAGGAAAAAAAAGAATTCGTCGTTCATGAATAAACAGCGCCTATTAAAACAAAACAGTGAACAGTCTAATCTACAGAACCAAACGATAGTGAAATTAAAAAAGACTTACCAATAACAGAAACAATTTTTATATTAAGATTTTGATAAATATACATCATAACTGATTGATGTAACTTGTTGGTTTTTCACATTATTGATGTTTGAACTTGCACTGTTCCGACAAAAAAAAATCATAATGTATTTCAAAATACATTTCAATCTAAACAGACATCTGAATGTACTATTAAAGAAGAAGACAGTCCTAAAAAAAAATCAAAGCTTTTTGTATTTCATTAATCATATGTTGAAATCTTTCTCTACAATACTTTATGGAAAGACTAGATTTTATTCAGAATAACATTTAAAAACTATAGACAGACATTTATATTTGCCTTTCTGAATAGCAGTTACAGCATTGTTTTCGTGTTTATCGCTGTTGTTCTCTAGTAAGTTTTTGCTAAGTATTGAAATCTTAGATTAATAACTAATCATTACGTCTTTCAACAACTTTATCAATTTCAAGGTTTTATTGATTTTTGTGACAAAATTTATTTAAAAAGACTCTTGAAATAATAATTTTTCGTATTTTGATTTACAAGAGAATGGTGACCGTTAGATCTTTGTGGTGCTGAATCGATCAATGGAACTAGTCAAATAGAGAATGATTAACTTAGTATTAATGATATTTGAAATTCTATAGATATTAGTCAATTAAAGATTTTCATGCAACTATAGCATTTTGAATTCAAAAGTGAAATGCCAACCACCTGTTTCAACATATGCTGAACATTTTTTTATGTCACTTTATAGAAAAAGCAGAAACTTTATCGTCGGAGTTCTTTGCCAATCATATTTTTATACAGGTGATACCCATGTACACAGCCATAGATCACTCTATTGATACTCTACCTCTTAGTCCGCTGAACAACTATATTCAAAATTGGATGTGTTCTAATGCAAATGTACGATACGAATTTTTTTAAATATTGCCTGTTTGGATTGATAGTTGTAATCGGTTTAGTTTAATCGGTTTGTTGGATCATTATTAATTGATTAATGGGAGTAGTATCAAAAAACATTCATTTTCCTGTTTGCATTCAGTTTTTTCTTAAATCTCTACGAAGTATTATATGATAGTTGTTTATATCTGTTAGGTTTTTCAAAGATGAATATATAATATATCTATATATAGCGCGAAAAAAATGTCATTTTTCTATAAATTAATTGTAACACTACAGATTCTGAATAATCAAACATTTCTCGATAAGAGCAAACAAACTTACTCTCAACAAGTTTTACCAGAGAAAAATGGAATTTCTATAAGATATTTTCGAGTCAATGACGAGCGGTTGATCAGGACAGGTTACAATTTGTTTCAGTTTCTTCTCAAAAGAAACTCTTCTTCAATATTAACTGCGATGAATTATGTCTCTCGAAGCTGATCAAAAATCTAGACTTCGGAGCTAGTTTTCTGTAATCATGCTAACATTTCATCTTGATAAAACAGTAGCACACAATATATTTTGAATGATATCTTTCTGCGATATTCTTTAATAGACTTTAGCATATTTAATAAATTCTTCTGTATTGAAGTTCAAGAATATAAAGAGTATGGAAAATAGTACCTGACGATTGCATGAGTTGATTCATGTGATCTGATACTCAAATTGAAAACATTATTGTAATCAAAGAGAAAAATATTTCAAAATGACTATGCAATCTATTTATGTATTAGTACAAGGAAAGAAATGAAATCTATTTTAACAAGCAGTGATATTGAGAATGTGTTTGATAAGATAGTTTGTTCAAACGTAACGCTGTTACGTTTTATACCCTTTTTTCTTCAATTCTTTCGGAAGATTTGAGAACTAAAAAGTTCGTTTAAATGCTATTCGATGCAGCTTATCATACTGTATTTATGTTATAAGAATGATCGCTATTGGTTGACGTCTCAGACTTCTCGGAAAGCTTTGTTATTACGTACGCTTTTACATAAAAACGAAGCTGGGTAAGTACAAATTTTCTCGAGTACGAGCACGTGCTTGTACTTGCCGAATTGCGCATCAAAAGACTCTTTTTCTCTACTGTCACTAATAAAACTCCAATTTCTTGCGAAAGTATTTCTCCAAATGAAACGCTTCTTAAGTCAGTCTTGTAGAACATCGAAGAGGCTTTCAACCGGCAGAAAAAGATTTTCTTTAAACTATTTTTGCTCAGATAAAAAATGCAAAAAACAAACGTAAGACCGTTACACAGCTTGTTCTCCACCAACTTTGAGGCATATAACGTGCTCAGAAACATTTGATTTTCATAAATATCGGTCTCTTCTGTATATCTAATCGTTCTATCAAAGAATCTTACTGCTACATGAAAGCGGGAACTCTTTAACTGTAAAAAAATTGTACAAGTTGTCCTTAGTAACGAAAGTCAAAAATAAATAAGCCATTTGGCAGAGAATTATATTTAGCATCGTATGGTATGCCGCTCAGTATTTTTTGAAAAAGATTCTTGATTACGAAAATTCAAAATACGGTTTTTGAAAAGTTTTAAATTCGGCTTTCGATGCCAAAATACAATTTTTTGTAAACGAATAAATGTCAAATTTGTAACTAGCGTAAAAAACTGCATCGAATAAATGCATTCAGATATGTCTAACTCGAAAACAATTTTTTCCAAAACTTGATCAGCCAAGTGTCGCGTTACATGATCAAACCGACGACTATTTGCACTTGTTTTCTTTTAATTTCAATCTTCGGAATACTTGCAACTAAACTGCAACCATTGTTGAATAGAAAAGGTGCATTGTAAAGTCACTACTTATTATAAATAACAATCATAATACAGTAATCATTGTTTCATCTATACAACGATTGTATTATTTTTTATACTTTGTGCGTAATATACTATTCAACTTAATCGTATGAATTCATGATTAGTATAAGAATAAATACTTATATACTCTTATTTATCTTTTAAACTGTTGTGTAATATTATTAGATTTTCTTAGACTCAACAAAATATTTACATCTTAGTACACCATTAGTAATGGAAGAGAATGATGTGAAGCTTGAAGCACCCTTATTGATTTTCATTTCTTACGTTCTATTCGTTATGGGGCGTGGCGTACTTTACAAAAAGCTTTGTATAGATAGTCATCAATGCATCGAGACAACACTCTTCTTGTATTTGATTATTTGACTTTGTCCTTTAAAAAAAACATACCATGACTAACCAATTTATACAAACATTCGTCACTTATCAGAATCACTTGAAAAACAAGAAACTATTTCGTGACTGAATATTATATTTAATAATATCCAGTTCCTTTTTTTCCTCATATGCTACGCTTCATTGATCTTTTCGACGCATTTTCAATAAATCGTATGCTACGTATGACCAATTTTAATTTTTTGATATATTTCAAGGACGTAATAAAAAATATTGTTTTCTTGTTTTTTTATTTACTTCCTAGTTCAATATGGAATTTAAAGTTATATCGATACGGAGGATTGTTTAGACTGTATCTTAAAAATAACGTCATACAAAATTTTAGAACAAGAGCATAATTCATAGATACATTATCGTATTAAAGAAAAACAAAGTATAACGAACGAAAAGATATCCATACACTGTACGTATGTTTTAATACATCTTCTATGTGTGATTTATAATTAGTAAATGAAATGCTATGAAGATTAAGTATAAAGAATGGTGCATCAAGTGCATGCTTTTTTTCTCTTTTTGATCATAGATAGATATACATATACTTTATCATATTACTTTTTTTCTCTTCTTTTCATATTTTTCTTACTTTAGATTATCACCTTGAAAAAGGGATGGTGAGTAATTAGAATTGAAACAATATTTTTCTTCTTTATGATATTCACAGTAAGTATCTTATAGAAGCTTGATCAAATTTGAAACAAAAAAAAATATCCATATAAAATTTCTTAATTTTGTTTTTTTAAGTTTAACTGTTTCTTATTTTTAATAAACATGTTCTCAATGTTGGATTTTTATAGACATTGTGAAACTAGTAGTGTACATAAAAATAATTGTCATTATTCACTAGACAGAAATCGGGCCGAAGAAAAAAATAATTCCCTACTATTCAAGTGTGAATCGAGACAATATTTTGAAGAAGTACAACATGAATAGGCGATAGAATATATTCAAGACAGTTACTCGTGACGAGTAAAAGAGCTTGTCATTCGATGTTTCTCTCTAGTACTTTACGCATTAGTTCATCTTTGAAAATGATTACCTTTTTGTACGTATATGCATAGGAAAAAAACAAGAATTTCTCCTTGTTTAAATTTAAATAACACAGATATTAAACAAAAGAAAAGCTTCGAAAGTCTTTTTTTTATTTCTATAAAAAGTGACTATTTCTTCTACTGTGACCATTTTGCTTTCTTTTCAAAAACTAAACTCATCAAATAAATGCGAGCTATACTTGTGCTCTTGTGTAGCCGATATGCGTCGAATATTTGTACTGATCACAACAAATAAATCACCTGTATTGAAAAAATATTTATATATTGCTCCATTAGTATCGTTTTTTTATGCATAATTTTTTCTTTTCTATTTTGACATGATCACTCTAGATATTACACTGACTGATTCATTACAAAAAGTCTAGCTATAAAATTAAACTAAAGAAAAAATGGCACCGGACGAAAATGAAAAGCCTAAATCCACATATGTGTCTTTCCCAGACAATCCGATTAAAACTTTAACAGTCGAAGAAATGTATGATAAAGAAAAATATGATTTATCAACAATGGAAGAAGGTGACGTATTGACAATGCTGAAGTAAGTAAACAGATTTTTTTTATTTTTATAAATTTATTAAGACGTTTTTGTTCTTCTAATCAAAACATTTTAGTGCAACTCGGGAAGGTTTAACAGATGAAGAAGTTAATGAACGTCTTGAAAAAGTAAAATTAGTTTATTTTTATATTTTTCTTTAATTTTAGCTTTTCTGTTATACTAGTTTGGTCGTAATCGACTTGAACATAAAGAAAAAAGTCCTATTATACAGTTTCTTCTATTTATGTGGAATCCACTTTCTTGGGTTATGGAAGCTGCAGCTATAGTCGCTATTGCTGTATCGAATGGTGGTGGACTACCTCCAGATTGGGAAGATTTTCTCGGAATTGTTCTTCTTCTTCTTGCTAATTCAATTATTGGTTTTATTGAACAACGTAATGCTGGAAATGCTGTTAAATCGCTTATGGAATCGTTAGCACCCGAAGCAAAGGCCAAACGGAATGGTGAATGGAAAGTTATTGAAGCAGCTGAACTTGTTCCCGGTGATATAATAAGTATTAAATTAGGTGATGTTATACCGGCTGATGGACGTTTAATTGGTAAACGAATTGGTTTTTGTTTATTTGTTTACTTTGTTATTTTTATTCTTTTAGCTGCACATGGTGGAGTTTCCATTGATCAAGCAGCATTAACTGGTGAATCACTTCCTGTAAATAAATCAATTGGTGATGAAATATTTTCGGGTTCAACATGTAAACAAGGTGAAGCAGAAGCTATTGGTAAATATAAATCAAATTTACAATTTGAATAATCTAGTTGATAATTTAGTTATTGGTACTGGTCTTAATACTTTTTTTGGTCGAGCAGCTAAATTAGTTGGTGGTGCACATGATGAAGTTGGTCATTTACAAACAATTCTTGCTAAAATTGGTAATTTTTGTATTATTGGTATTACCATATTTATAATTGCTGAAATTCTTGTTATGTAGTATGTATCTAACAAAAAAAACTTTTTTTTTGTGATTGTTTTTTCTGTATGTACTTAGTGCTGGTTTTCGTTATAATTATCGACGTGGTATTAATAATTTATTAGTCCTTTTAATCGGTGGTATACCAATAGCTATGCCAACAGTTTTATCTGTAACATTAGCTATTGGTGCTAAACAATTATCTGAACATAAAGCTATTGTTACACATATTACAGCTATTGAAGAACTTGCTGCTGTAACTATTTTATGTTCAGATAAAACGGGAACATTGACATTAAACAAACTTGTTATTGATAAACCAACTGTAAAGCAATATTCAGATGTAGGTATTGATGATATTATTCATTTTGCGGCTATTGCATCACGTACTGAAAATCAAGATGCTATGTAAGTTTGAGAAACGAAAAATAATATATACAAAAAAATATATTTTCTCAATATGATTTTTAATTTTTAGTGATACATGTATAACAGATGCATATGGTGATATTAAAAAAATACGAGAGGGCATTGAAGAATTAGAGTTTAAACCGTAAGTGTGAAGATGTTCTTTTGTATTTTTCTATGACGAAAAAAAAATCAAAATTATTTTCTTTTAAGTTTTAATCCTACTGATAAACGTACTGAAATTACATATAAAATTACAAGTGATGGAAGTGTACATCGTATTAGTAAAGGTATGTCACATGCTATATTGGATTTATGTACACGAGATAAAACAAGTGAACAAATAAGACAATTAAATGCTGATGTTGATGAGTTTGCACGACGAGGTTTACGAGCATTAGCTGTTGCTGTCGAAGAGGTACCAAATAAACAAGTTGATGGTGAAGGAAATGGTTTTAAATTAATTGGTCTTTTACCTATCTATGATCCACCACGTTCTGATACAAAAGAAACAATTCATCGTGCTCTCGAATTAGGTAAAAACAAATAATAATAATAATAAATGTGTTTTTATTTTCATTTATTGAAATAAATAGGTGTGAAAGTTAAAATGATCACTGGCGATCAATTAGCTATAGCTAAAGAAACTGGACGACGTCTTGGTATGGGTGATAATATGTTTTTATCGAAAACACTTAAAGAAGGGCCACCACCTGAATCTGGTTATAAAGATGTTGATGATTTAGTTTTACATGCTGATGGTTTTGCTGGTGTTTATCCTGAACATAAATATGAAATTGTTGAAAAATTACAACAAATGGGTCATATGATTGCTATGACTGGTGATGGTGTTAATGATGCACCTGCACTATCAAAAGCGAATGTTGGTATTGCAGTTGCTGATGCATCAGATGCAGCACGTTCAGCTGCTGATATTGTTTTAACTGAACCTGGTCTATCAGTTATTATTGAAGGTAAAAAAGTTTTCTTTTCTAAAAAAACCAAAAAAATAAAATTGTTTTCATATTTAAAAAAAAAATGCAATAGCTATTCTTGGTTCAAGACAAATTTTTCAACGTATGAGAAATTATTCGATTTATACATGTTCAATAACAATTCGTGTATTAGTTGGATTTTCTGTTTTAATTTTTGCTTTTAAATTTGATTTTCCATCATTTATGGTAAAAACCAATTTTAAATTTTCTTTCATATGGATTTTAATTAATAAATTATTTTTGTTGTTAGGTACTTATTCTTGCTATACTTAATGATGGTACGATAATGACTATTTCAAAAGATCGTGTTAAACCATCACCATATCCAAATAGTTGGAATTTAAATGAAATATTTTCATATGCAATTGTTTATGGTACATATTTAGCTCTGTCAACAGTTGTATTTTTTGCTGTAATTGTTAAAACAGATTTTTTTCAACATACAGCTGGTGTAAACCCTTTTATATATGGTAAAACTGGAGATAGCTATATAGGATGGAATCATCCACAATTGCATTCAATTATTTATTTACAAGTGTCAACAATAAGTCAAGCATTAATATTTGTAACACGTTCACGTAGCTTCTTTTTTATGGAACGTCCATCAATAATATTAGTTGCTGCTTTTGGTATAGCACAACTTGTTGCAACATTTATTGCTGTTTGGGCTAATTGGAGTTTTACAGATATTCAAGGTTGTGGTTGGAAATGGGCTGGAATTGTTTGGATATGGAATATTATTTGGTTTTTTCCACTTGATCTTGTTAAAGTAAAAAAGAAAAAAAAACAAACGAATTTCTTTTTGAAGATTCTATTGTTTCATTATAGTTTGCACTTCGTGCTTACTTTGATCCAAAACAAAAACAAGTTATTGAAGAACTATTAACAGCTGATCCATCGACAGAAGAACAAATAACTCGTCGTAAAAGTACGATTGCTGGTGGTGTTCCATCGGGTCCACCATCACGTCGTTCAACTATGGTTAGTGGTGAAGGTGTACGTTCAAGACGTGAAACATTTGCTCAAGCAACTGCAAAATATTATGCACCACATTTAGAAGCTTTATCAACATCACATCATCATCGTAATTTTGCTCGATTGCTTAAAACTCAAGGTGCTAATGCACCAGTAATTTCGGTAGATCATGATGAACTCCGACGTTTTTCACTCGTACAGGTAGAAATAAACGTTATTTTTTTTTGTTTTTCTTATTGTGATGTACTGTTAAATGTTTCTTTTCTGATTTTAATTTATAGGCTCATCATGCTTCTAAATTGCTCAATCCACAAGGTGCAAGTACTAATCGTAGAATAACAACTGCTGTGTAAAAAACAAGTGTATTGAATATTATTTATTCAAATCTATCTGTTCAATCTTCCTAGACATGCATGTGAACAATTATGTTTTCTCTTTTACTCTATACTTTGACACTTATTTATGTCATATGTTTGTGAATAATTTTCTTTTTATTTAAATAAAATCAATTGCTGTCATTTTATTTCTCTTTTTTTCTGATACGTTCAATAAGAACTTGATCTCCATGATCATTTGAATTATCGTTGTTTATATTTGATGTTTGAATATTTACAGTATCACCACATGAATTACTAACTTGTTTTAATTTTTCATTTATTATGTTTGATGTTTGTTTAATTGCGTTTGAATAAATATTTTCTCGAGTTGTAACATTCGATGTTACATTTCGAATCATGTGTTCAAGTTCAATATCATACGCATCATCAGGTTTCTCCATATTAAACATATCTTCACAATTAATATCTTTTGTACGTGCTACTTTTTCAACTTTAAGTTCAAGTTGAACAACTTTATTACGCATTTGTTCTAATTCTTCATCAATCTCTTCATTCGATGTTTCATGATCAATTTTAATTAAAAGTTTTTTCATTAAACGTACAAATTTTACTTGTTGTTGTAATCGTTCTTTATATCGAATAGAAGCTAATTCTTTACGTGTTCGTTTATCTACTGATGATTCACGATAAATCTTATTTGATGGAAATCCTTGACCTGTACGAATATAATTTTCATAATTTAATGCTTCACGACCTTCACGTTGTTTCGGAAGTGAACTCAATGCTGCTAATAATCCAAACATAATTATTTTTAGCGCCAAAAATAAAAAATATTAAAACTATTCTAGATTTATCTGAATTACACAGCATACAATTTGTTTGTACTGTTAGTTTTGAACTAAAAATAGCTCTTCTTTTTCTTTTTGGTCAGTACGTTCCAATTTGAAACAAACAAATTTTCTAAATATTATTCTGATATCAGAATTCATCTTATTCATTCTTCAAATAAGAATAAATTTTCTTTTTCAAGAAAGATAGCATACCTGCATGTCAATTCATGACGCACTTAAAATGCTTTATTATTTTTCTTATCAGAAAATGTACTTTACATTTTAGGTAATACAATTACCACAGGACATATGAGTTTCGTTTATTATAAACTTCAATCAAAAAACAATTACTTTTCTTGATTATTTCATTGATAGATTTCACTGAATTCAAAAACGAACAAGTTATAAAAAGAATATATTTTTATTGCGCCTATAGCATTGCAATATGGTGCGGTGCATTCATGCTGTTGAATGACGTCATATCTACCTACATGATAGACGATGTGAGGGGTGGAGGTTGTTTGAGAATTAAACACATATGCTAAAGTCCATAAAAGAACTAAAGATACTATTATATAATAAAATAACCTTAAAAAACATTTAATTTTTTTTTCATATATTTCCAACAAAAGGTCAAACAAATATCTAGTAATAAAATAATTTTTCTTTGTTGATTTTAACAGCATAGACAAGAAATTTTTTCGATGAAAAAAAATACAAATAGGAAAAATGATAAGAGACTTCGTACCAGAATTTTGTCTAGAAAAACAGTACAATACAGATAAATGCAAGTTATTATATTATGATCTAAATATTAGACAGAAAAAACTTGTAGTTAGTTATCATTAAAAAAAGAAAATATGAGACAGTCGTTCTTTGTTTTTATTTAATATGATCTAGTATTCAAGCGATCATATGATGATACGTAGGGAATCTTATTTATGTATGATATATCTTGAATCTTGTGAGAATATAATTAAAAAAAAACGTAAATTATGTTGATTCTTCTAGTACAATATTTAAATAGTTAACATTCAAAGAACTTTCTCTTTATACGAAAGTCCAAGGTTGTTCAAATAAAGAAATAATCAAATATCTTGAAAAATACAAGAAAGATTATAAATGTGGTGTAGGTGTTCTAAATAAAAGTACTTTCAATATTGATAATTAGACTAATAATTAATAATGATAGAAAGTTATTACCAATTATTTTCTTTTTATCGTTATATTCAAGTTCAATTCTTACATCAAATACGCCATTGTCCTTTTAAATAATGGGCACCTTTTATGAATCATAAGGTTTTTATTTTTTTTTTATTATATATAATATTGAGTATTATTTAATTTTCTTTATTGACTTCCGTGCTTCAGCACGTATAGAGCGGACAACACGTTACGTTATGCTTCGTCATTTTATGCACACTCTGTATAATCATGATGACAATGTGGGTGATAAGCAATCAAAAAGCATTAAAAAAACGAAAGTCAGCTGGCTGATATTAAACGTAGAATCACGCTTCTATCTTGAGACTAATAAATTATCAAAGATGAATATAAATAGCAAAAAAAACACTCACAGAAAGAGTGACGATTCTCAGATAATTCTTATTTACTTCTTTTTTTTTTGTATATTTGTAAATATCTTTTCAAATTTTTATAAATATTTCCCCATGAAACAAAAAGCGAAACTAAATACAATGAGTCAAATGAGTAAGTATGTTTAGATGTTTTTAATAAGTGTTATAACTCTATCAATTTCGATCTTCTATGAATGCAGTATGTTGTATTTTGTAGATTTATTAGAATTTCGAAAACGCGATTACTATTTTTACTGTATCACTGTTTTCATCTAAACATATATAAATATATATACATACAAGCATAACAAACCAATATCATATACACAAATTTTGAGATAGTTCAGAAACAAATTGAATATTAAAAAAATTCAAGTGAAAATAGGAAACATGAGATTGTTCTATTTTCTCAAGCAGAAATCAAAACAATATTTATGTCATACGAGAAATGAAAGGATTTCATCGGGTAAGATTATTTCACTGTTATCTTTTCAAATAGAATAAAAATTGCTCTAAACACGTCCGATAGTCTGTCTATTCCGATTTATTCCCACGTTTTCTTTTACTCTTGAAACGTGTACATATATACACAGCATATAATATCGAAGCTTTATATTGATGATAATGTTGATATGTTATTCTATTTTGTTTCTTTTGCACGTACATGCATTTATTCTGCACTAATAATAAATTATAGGGTTTATGCGATGATGAATCTACTATTGAAACTCAGCAAGATATACTCCCCACCTATTAGAACACAGCTGATAATGGAAAGAAAAGAAAGAAGAAAAATAACTATTCAATCTTATGCACATAACGAAAGGAAAGAAAAGTCTTTTTTTTTCTTCTCTTTTCCTGTCCGTAGAAAAAAACGGCCGAGGAAGAAGATTTTCTCTCCTATTCATTTTCTCTGTCATCTCGTTCTCTGACACAGCTTGCTCGCATCTGATCGCTTCGTCAGATAGATTAGTGTGAATACGAGTGATTACTGTTCACATCACATTGTTGACTAGCGAGGGTATCCCGTTGTCGTATTTAAAATCAATTCGACACGGGGAAAAGAATAAAAGTGTTCATGAAAACATCGATAATGGCTACATTTTTTCACAAAAAATAAAATAATGGCACATCGAACAGCTTTACCGGAGACCAATCATGATGACGATTGTCAGCTTATATCTTTCACAAATAAATTACCCTATTATGTAAGACATATATGCAAATCTACCAATAAAAGCAAGACATCAATCGCTATACAAAAATCAAGTATGTATTGGAGACCAAGAAAAAAACAGAAAATTTCAAACATGAGTTAATGATTTAACTAAGAAAAAACAATAAAAGAAAATGAAAATATTATATTTTGATTATTAATCATTTGTTGTTCTCGCCTTTTTTGACACTTGATTACATAGTTCAATTAAAAAAAGAGATTGATGATAGAATTAGAAAAGAAAAAAAAATATGAGAAGAAAAACGAGCAACTGTCGACTACTATCAATGTGATATTTCTCAAAAAACAACTGAAAAACAAAGAGATTCCTATCATAAGTTTTTGTCTCTTTCTCTCGCTCTCTCTCTCTCTCTGTTTATAAATTGCTAGAATACAAATTAGTAATTGTATATATATTTGATTATTAACTTCCAAGCACTTGTGTTACATAAAATGATTGCTTGTCGTTATAGTTTACTCATTCGATCAACAAAATCTAATACTATAATTCTTTTTTTTTCCTGTCTGAGTAAATGTCTATGTTTGTCTTCGTGTACGCATAGGCAACATCTGTTTCTGTTGCTGTTTACGCGCTTGATTTTGTTGTTGTTGAATGTTTTGTACTAGTGATGGTCGTCACCTCCCTCTCCTCCTCCACATAACAACGATGTGAGTTTTGTCAAAATTATATTACAATGTTCTCTTTCTTTTTTTTTCTCGTTCTTTCATTTGCACTTATGGATAGAGACAAAAAGGTTCTTTGTCGTCTCGTAACCTTGAATGTCTTTTTCTCATACTTGATCGTTCGTTTGCAATGCGTATGCCAAGGTTTTATAGCTAATTACATTTTTTTTTCTATCATTTTCTTTTTCTCTTTCTTTCTTTTTTTTCATATTTGATGGCTTAGATCGTGCTATTGAACAACAAGGTTGTTATAAATAGTAGTAGTGATCGAATATAATGAAGATGATATTGCAAGGCCTCGGAAATACAAGTAAATAATAATAAAAAAACTAAAGCAGATGCAGAAATAGAAAGAGAAAAGAAGAGAAGAAAAGAGAAGGAAGTTTTGTTTTTGTTGTTATTATTTTGCAGCTTTGGTGATGTTAGCGTTCTTCCAAGGCCGTTCTTTCTCGGCTCTTTTTCTTTCTATTGTTGACAAGAGAAAAAAAATTGAACTAATGTATAATTGTGTTTGCGTGAGAAAGAGAAAGTCTTCATGACCTTGTGGTTAATATTAGACCCAAGTAGAGAAAAAAAAAACGAAGGAAAAGAGAATAAGACAAACAGATGATTTGTCTGTCTCTTTCTGTTGCTTAAGAATAAGGCTTCGTGTAAATTACATGCGCTGTATATGGGCGTATGTATGAGTCTTATGTCTAACCGCAATCATCGACCACAAAATTTTTCTTTTCTTTGTTTGTCATCAGTTTTGTACATTGAGAACTATTCTTTTTCTTCTCATCAGTATCGTTGTTGTCCCATATAACGATTTATCTTCTTCTGTCGATTCTTTAGTTTTGCTTGATCTTTTTCTTTTGATTAGAACAAGAATCTATCTACATATTCATTTGTTCAAGAATAGCAAATACCATCCAAGGAATAATTTTTGACAGCTCCGTTTCCTTTTTCTCTCATTATATAACTTCAGCTACTACCATCAGTTAGAGTGTATTTGACATCCAATGCATCCCATTTATGTATATATGAGAACAAAAGTCCTTGAATGCATATGTGGTGCAATAGTAACAGAAAAGAAAAAAAAATGAAAGTACCGATAAAAGGAGAAAGAAAGCGTCAAGAGAAAGCGCGCAAGAGAGAGACAGAAAGAAATTATATTCTCGACTAGGACGGACGAGTACATTTGTCTCTCCAGCTGTCGAAAAAAAAAAGTCAGTATGTATATGCGCATCAGAGATTGGCTAGGGTAAAAGAAAGACAGCAAGAGGAAGAAAAAAATTTTTCGATAGTGTTACTGTACGATGGACATCGACCGACTGACAAGAAATAGAAAAGCAAAATAGCCGTTCGTATATTTTGCTTCTAAACGGTCAAACTATACGCAAACAGAACAGACTGTGTGTGTGTATGTCACTCTAGTGTATTATCCTATTTTGTAGTTTTTTTTTTCTACGATTCAAATAAATATTTTTTTTTTTTAAGAAGATCAAAATAAATCC